AAACCGAAACCACCATGAACTCTTGCAAATTGCCTTGCTTCATAACCAAAATGGCCATTAGTCTTCACCTATGAAAACTTTTTCAGTTTGTGAGATGTCTTGTATCAAACTCTCTAAATCCTCCTAAAACTTTGTTATCAAAAGGACTTCCGAACCAACTTGTGGAGCATAAGTACTAATGATGTTAATAGTGTCTTGTGTAACCAATAACTTCAAGGACATGATCCTATCTCCAATCCTTTTAATTTTTACTACATTTTTTTTTCCCAAGGATTATCTACAATTATGCCTACTTTGTTCTTTCCCTTGACTTTTCCTATATACCAAAGTTTGAAACTTGTAGTATCAAGCTCCTTAGTCTTATTTCCAATCCATTTTGTTTCTTGAAGGAACATGATGTTAATCTTTCTAAGAATCATAGTATCCATCACTTCCAATGACTTTCCTATCAAAGTACCAATATTTCAACCTAAACACGTGTTTTTGGACTACTTTACTTACATTTGTCCAGCCAAATGTGAGGACCCTTGCTCATTTAACAACACATTTGAGTGTCAATACAGCGGCACTAGCTCATTAGCCTCATTTAACAATACTTGAGCCATATAGCTTGTTGCTTCCGGGTAATAACCTAGCCTTAACACAATATCGTTGTATGTAATCCATATAAAAGATTTCAACAAGTTTTACGTTGGTTGCCTGGGCTTAGGATTGTCTATGGGGCCATAGGTTGAGTTTGAGTTCTAGGCTTTTGAAAACTTTTTCACAAGTTGCAATTTCTTTCTTGTGTTCATTGGTCACACTTCTTCACTACACCCTTTATCCTTCTAGATACTTCTAGACCTTATCAACCCATTTGCTTACATTTGTTGTTTTAGGAAATGGAATAGTCGTGTTTCCCTTCATAATCCATTCCACCCTTCAATCAGTGTTGTTAAAAGGCGGCTGTGGCGGAATTAGGTGGCGGTTTTTAACCCCGCTGTTACAGCATTAGCGTTTTTTGGCATTTTTCCATGGCGGTGCCATGGCAGTAATGACGGCCATGTGGGAAAATGTGAAAAAATGGCATTTTTGCAAGAAAATTTGAGTTGGGACATAGACTCGACCTGGTCCAAAGAGAAAATATGTGAGCCCAAACCCTAAATCACATATTTTCTTCCTTTCTTTTCTTCATAGCTATTGTGGAGTGGCGTTGGCCAAGTGATGCTTGCTGTGGTGAAATATTTCTTTATTCCCAGAGGTTAAGCCCTATTTGTAGATAGTGTCTTGGTGTGGGTGTGCCCTTTTAAAGTGTAATGGAGAAAGAGAGTGAGTCTGATCTTGCCCTTGCTATAGTGTTGTTTAGGGTTTTTCTAAGGGAAAAATGGACTTTTTCCACTTAAAATTTTTCCTTCTCTTCTTGAGCGGTAAATTTTCTAAAGGGTAAAATTTTTAGGGTTCTCTCTGCTCTATTTTTCTTCTTTCTTCTCTAAACCCAACTTCTCCTTCATCTCCTTTCTAGCTATTTTCTGGCAACTGTTAGTGGAAGGCCCTGTTTTTCAAGATCCATTTTCCATTTTGCTTCTCAGGGCTCTATCCCCTCTTTCTTAGTTTTTCCCTCTCCTATTCCTTTTTTTTTTTTTTTTTTTTCAATTCTGTTTTTCCCTCACCCATTCTGTTTTACTCCCCCATTTTTTTTCATTTTTCCTTATTATTTTGTTTTCTTGATTCTATTTTTCTGTTTTCACTTTCAAGTTTCCTTCTCTATATTTATTTTTAATTCTCTACTTTTCTGTTATAACTTCAGCTTTTTTTTAATTATTTTACAACAATTTTATTCTTTTTTTTTTCCCCTCAAAACCTTCCTTCTTTTATATGTAGTTAGTTTTCTAGTTTTATATCATATTTTGCAATATATATATATATATATAATATTTTATTATGACCGCGATCTTCCGCCAAAACCTGCCATGGCATCTGCCATAATTTTATGGCAGTGTTTTTTTGCTTTCTGCCATGACCTGTCATCCGCCATTGATAACATTGCCTTCAATGATCTGTTTCTTGCAGTTAGTCAAAACCTCACCCAAATTAGCCAACCAACCTATGCCCAAAATAAAATCCACTTCCTCCATATTAAAACATACGAAGAAATAATCATCTACAAGCCTTGCCTCTTTACATTTTGGTACTAGTATTCTATTATCATCCCCTAATTTCACTGCTACAGCTATTTCATTCCCATAATTCAGGCCTCAGAAATCCACCGTTCTTATTGAAATAAATTTATAGGAAATTCCAGGAATAACCTTGATTTATCCTTTTTTACCTTCATGGTTCAAGCTTGGAAGTCAGCCTTCTTTTCCATGTCCAACTATTGAAGACAAAACATTCAAGTTCACCTGGTTACACTCGTGTATATATATATGGAATAGAATTTATTGACATTAAGTGAACTTTTCAACCGTTAGATTATTTGATTTGTACGGTTGAGATTTGGTAACTTGGTGCTAATGGATCCTATCCCTATATATATATATATATATATATATATATATATGGTAAAATGTTACATAAAAAATAAAACAATAAATTTATCCATAACACACAACGAAAGGAGTTTAAATTGTTATGAATAATAATAAAATATTTCACAATAAAAAACTAAATACTAATGTCATTGAGCTTCATAAGATCTAAATACAACAATGAAATTGCATTTCACAATTTCAATCTCATTATTTCCTTATCCATCAATAGTGAAAAGAACAACCTCTAATTCTGATTCATCAAGAAAAAACTTCAAGAATTTCATCTCATCAAACGATAAAAAGCAATCTAACTATCTAAACGCATCCAATTAATTAAAGTAAACAGAGAAAATAGAAAAGATAAAATGACAAAATTAAAGAATGCAATTAAATTAAAATGGCTAGACTCAAATTCTAAGAACTAAGAAGCTTATAGGAATTAGTTTCACAAGTTAAAATTGATGAACATATTAAAATAGACCTGCTAATTTTTAATTTTTGGTGAAGAGGAATTACTGTTTGGTGATTATTGTTCCCTTTCAATATATAATGTATTCAATTAGACTAATTTTTACTTTCGTAGTAATTATATTTAATCAAACTCATTAAGAGTTATGGTGTTTCAATGATTCCTCAAGAAATTTGGCCTATTTTGATGGTCTAGAATTTTAAGTTCAACTTTGAGGTTTCTAATATCAAAATTCACTTTTCAGTCCTTTCCTTAACATCTTATATTATGCAAATTCAGTCAATCAAATTCGCAAGCATTAAGAGCACAGACTTAAATAAAGAAAATCATGACTAACTAAAAGTCATGGAAATATTATAAACATTGTCATCAATTGGAATTTGGATCTCTTAATTTCTAGGAATAAGAAGAACAAATGAAGAAAAAAGTAGGGAAGAAGGAGAAATAATATCTATCTATGCCCGTCAATAATCTGTGTTCTTGAATCTGTGCACTCCCTTCAGTGACCTAGACTCCCACTTTTTGATTTTTTCTTGCGAGTCTTTGATCATGATTATGTGTCTAATCCTCTTTTTATTTAGAGTTTTTATATAGAAGAGGGTTAAAACTCTCCTGGGTCCATAAGAGATAACACAAGCAAAAGGGTGTGAATCATGACCAAAAACAAAATCTGGGTGTGAACCACAGCCATGGTGGTCACTGGTCGTCACACCCAGGGTATGGTCCCTTCTGGACTCCACTTTTCATGATGATTTAACACACGAACCATGATTGTAGTGCACACCAAAGGCAGACCATGGTTATTTCTGGATTTTTGGTGTAGCAGTATACAACCATGGTTGTGGTGGAGGTCAAGGGCATGCTGTGGTTACTTCTAGATCATCATCTTATAATTCTTATCTTTCGTTGTGTAGTCTTTTTCTCAATCTTTTCCTTCCAAAATGCAGCACATCTCTTAAAAATCCACTTACTACAAGATGAACACATAAAAATAAATAAAATGTTCCTGAAAAACAAAATACATGTTAAAATGACTAGTAAATGCAAGAATATAGGAAAATTATATCCTAATCCTAGTATGAATAGTATGCAAATTACACATGCATCAAGCTCTTAGCTATTAGAGTATGTAACTGTAAACTGTTGTAACATCAATAGGAGTTAAGTTCTCATTATTAGTATAACAAACTAGTATAATAGGCTTAGTTACTTGGTTTTCTATTTGTATAAATATCTTGTATCTCTCATTACATTATATAATGAAATCATCAATTTCATTGTGACTAGCAGGTTTCTTTCTCTCTTTCCCTCTCTTTAATATCCTGATACTAGCTCACTGCTAACAAAATGCTAAAGCTAACTCCCTCCATGAACTACTTAACCCCAATAAAAAGAATTGCCTGTGGGATAACTGATTCTCACTCCCAGTTTCCATTCTGCCCTGCTGCACCTGCCTTTTCTAGTTTCTTCAGATGTATTACAAACCAACGTCCATGACTGAATTAAACTGGGACAACTAATTCTTGAGTCCAGACAGTTTCTATATATTTCAGTTAATAATACTGTACTTCAGAGTTTGGTCCTAGTTGTCCCCTTCTATGTTTCTTACTGTTAATTCAGAAACTACCTGGGTCCTATTACTCTTAATTAACTAATAGCTTTGTCATAAGAAATAAGTTCCATAGGCTTTTAAGTTCAGCTAGTAACTTGTTTTTTTTATGTGTAATGATCTTATTCATTCTTTCGGTTTTTGTAAACTTTGTCACATCTATCAATGCTTACATATTAGTGGTACCAACTGCTAGATTTGGCCAATTTTTTGGGTCCTATCATAACTCTTACTAGTTACTATTGAGATGATGTGCTTATGGCTTGTCTGGTATAATGTATATATGTGCGATGTGACAAGCACACCAGTAAGTGTGTATCTGGCTGGCAATGTTGTTTCTATAAATTTGCAATTACTAGACATCTTTCGTTATTTTGATAGCAGTCATGATCTGCTTTGGTCTATTCCACAGGATATTATGCTGAGAGATGAGGCCAACCATGGATCTGTGCACAAGTTGAGCAAAAGAACTGTTCATCTTCGGTCACATATTTCTTACCGCATCCGTCACTCTTTACGGGTAATGCTTGGGATTTCAACTGTATTTATTGTTTCCATTTTCTAATCTTTACCGTGTATTCTGATTGCCCCTTTAAATGTTTCAGGCATATGTTTCATTGTTGTACCTTAGAAAATTTTCTAACTTCAAAATCATACTAAGGGGAAAACCTGTGGCCCAGTTTGACATTGTGGATGAATTAAGATATTCAGAAGTAATTAGATATAAGCCCCAGCAAGCCGTGACATCAAATGAGGTTAGATCCATGATACCAGAGTATCAATTCAAAACCGTTTAAAGTAATATTTTTATATAGCACTTCAGCCCGTTGAAGATCTGCATTGTGTTTTTTCTTTTTTTATGTGTTTTTCCTTCATTTCCTAAGTGTATCTTTTTTTTTTTCATCTACTGATCTTCCATATCAGTATCACAAGAGAAGAGACTGTTTTATAAATAACAGTGTTTATTCAACTAGTCCTTATTACTCATGGACATTTTAACTAGGGAAAAAATTTTCATTCATATTTTCAAACTAATGAATTTAGTTTGCTTTAGGCTACAGTGGTGACAACCATTGGATTTCTAAAGGAGGCTCCACGTATTAATGTTTCTGGATTTAATGTGTATCACAAAAATCGCCTGATCAAGGTATGTTCTGAATGCTGGAAATGCCTCATCTCAATTCACATTTATTTCAGTTGGTCTCTCAAGTATGCTCATTTTGTTTATTTTCTCATTCAGCAACGCACCATTTTAAAACTTAAATGAGTTAAATGTTCAATATTAAACTTCCATGTGCAATTGAACTTCATTTTCTATCTTAGCTTCATTTTTTTTTCTGAATATATTAAAAATGAGTAAACTTTCACTTTAGTCCCTGAAATATGCAGTGTCGTTCATATTAATTCTTTAAATTTTGAATTTGAATTTTTAGTCCCAAGAATTAGTAATTGCCAATCACGTTAGTCCTTATCGTTAAGAGATGTTAAAATTGTGTAACCGAGTGATGACATGTCATGTTTAATAACATGTGACAGTCCATTCTTGATACAAAATGATGTTTTATAATATTTCAAAAATAATTCATTTTCGTCCCTGATTTTAACATTTTCGAGTAATAAGATCTCTTTTCCTCTTTTGCTCTGCCTTCTTCTATGGTGTCGTCTTTTCTTTGACAATGGTATAATGACATTTACGCTATAAAAGTCCTTTATCTTGAGTTTTCTCAGTTGAATCACCATATTCAAGTATCAAATCTGTGAGTGAAGAACCAATTGTGATCGATTTAGTGTAGGGGTCTCAAATCTGCCACCTTAGGACTTGATTCCCCGATGTCCCAAAAGTTGCCACTTGTGAAATCCTTATATCCTCTTACAATGATTTTTTCGCATTTCAGAACCTCTATGAGGCTAACAAGGGAGAGATTATCACAGTTTCCCTTAAACATGTTATTGGAAATGTTAGTTTCATCGTTCCTACACTTGGTAGTCCATTGCAGCGATGGCCACTAGAAGGAAGAAGATGCAATGGAAGAAGGCGAAAAAACAAAAAAAAGAAGACGATGAGGGACCTTATTAGTTAAACATGTTAAAATTCAAGGATGAAAATGAACTATTTTTGACAGATTTTAAAATGATGTTTTGTGTCAAGAATAAACTGTCATGTATCATTTAACGTGTAAATCATCAACTCTGTTATCCAATTTTAACGTCTCTTAATGGTAAGGACTAATGTGCTTGACGATTGTTAATTTTAAGGACTAAAATTTTAAATTTTGAGAACTGACTTTAGTCAAGTTGCATATTTGAGGTACTAATGTGGGCGTTTACCCTATTAAAAATACCCAATAGTATCTTTTACTATATTTTAGGATTAGTTTCCATATTAATTACTAGGAGTGTCTTCTATATTGCCTTATTATCTCTTGATTTGTGATAAATCGATGCATGAATTTTGTTAAATAGTAAAAATATATTGTATTTGTAGGCATTGTGTCATTAAATACTAAATAACTGTGATTCAATGATCTAAACACACCTAATTATTAAGATAAGATAAAAAAAATATAGAAAAGACAAAAAAATTAAAGAGTGCAAAATAATTTTAAAAGGATGAATTAAAATTTGACTTAATCATATTTTTGGTCCCTATAAAAGTAGCACCCTCTGAAATTAATCATTAAAAATAGTTTTTTAGAATATGGTCCCTAACATTTTCAAAATATATGGATTTAGTCTCTACTGTCCATTATCCTCTCTTAAGTGATGAGCTGTTTAACGAAAATACAAATCATCATTGCTACGTCATTATTTTTATTATTTTATTGTTTAAATATTAATATTTGCCAAAAAGTCCCTAAACACCTTTTCTTTCTCTATTATCATGTTCTTCAATCTTCTCTCTTTTGGGTCATTCCTCTTGTAGATGGTGATGGCATAAACATTTCTCTCTATTAGAAGCATTGGTCCCCCTCATCCCATGTATCACGACATTGCTAGTGTGTACCCCACCTTCGATGGGAAAGTGAAGTAGAAGAAGAACGTGCTTCAACCCTCTACCTAAAGGAACTCATAAGAGCACCGTATCCAACCCCAAAAGTGAATCCATTTGCATTAACACTCTTTGAAATACAACTCTATCACTTCGGAGCAACACTTATTCACCATTTCATACCTCATTAATAATTGTGCCGTGTCACCGGAAACTACTCTAAACTTCCAAACTTATTTGATTTGAAGGGCACCCGACATGCTTACATGCAACCCCCACAAAATGGTTTTTCCAAAGTTTGAACTCTTCAATCTGATAAGGAAATTATTGGTTCCTTCTAAATTAAGTTTTGGAATGGCATTGCATGCCAAAAAGGGGCTTCTTTCCAAATTTGGGTGGATGCAAAAGTTGTGCCTTTAAGAGCTGGGGTTGGTTTGAGGAGTTAATTCTTTATGCATTTAGGCCGCCTTTGGTTATATTAACATCCAAGGATAAGATTAATGAGGTGATGAGATTTTGGTCAATCAATTAAGTTGGAACTCTTTGGCCCTTGCCAAAAGGCTTTCAATTTTTTTATATAGTTTGGGGAAAGGGATTGTTTTGAAGGATTTGGTTGTGCATCATCTGACGGCAGAAGGCTTGAGAGGAAAGAATGCAGCTCGTTTATCCCATTTTCTGTGCCCAAGGAATATGGATCCTAAAATTGCCATTGAAATGGACCCAACCACTCCATGGGCACTCTGTAATGTTGAGAAGATTGGAAGGGAGTCAAGAAAAGTTGGTGCTTTTGTCTATGAGTAGGAGAAAGAATAATGGGTTTTGGAATTTGATTGAGAAGACCAAGATGAAGGGGGTGAGGAAGAAGGAGATAGATGGGAAGTGGCTTACAAAGAAGAGAAAAGAGGTTGAAGAAGGAAGGACATTTTTTGCAGAATAGGAAGGCAATGGGGATAGGGTTCTAGGGAATTTTTTGCAAATATTTAAAATGTGTTTAGGGACTTCTTTGTAAATATTAATTTTAAATAATAAAATGTTAAAAAAAATTAAATGATGAGACAGTAACACGGAAGTGATGAGCTGGATTTCCATTATTCAGCTCATTACTTAACTGATATTTGATGATAGAGACTAAATCTTTATATTTTGAAAATGTCAGTGGCTAAATCCTAATAAATTTTTTTGTAAGGACTTATCTCAAAGGGCGTTACTTTTATAAGGACAAAAAACATAATCAAGCCTTAAAATATTAAGAAACTTCTAGGGATTAATTTCACCATAAATTAGATTAACAAACTTAACCAAAATAAATTCTATGTTATTTCTTGGTTTTTCTTGATGGTGAAATACTCTAAGGTGATTATTGATCTCTTTCAAAATACAATTATGTATTTAATTAAATTAACTCTTACTTTTGTGATAATTATATCTAATTACACCCATTAAGATTTATGGTGATTCAATGATTTTTGAAGAAACTTAGTTTACTTTTTCTGATTTAGAATCTCAAGTTCAACTTTGGAATTGGATTTGGAGTTTCCACTGACAAGATTCCCAAAAAATTTGCTAGCATTAATTAAGTGCAGTAAGAATTGAATAAAAAGCAATCAAGATTAATAAATATTCAAAACATCAACATCAACCTGAATTTGGGTTACCCTCAATCTTTAGAATAAAAGAACTACCCAATCATGGTTTAATTTCAAGCCAAAGCAATGAATAGAAACATTAGAAATAATAAGAACAAGAAAGAATAGAGAAGAAAGAACAAATTGTAATCTCTCCCTTAGAAGCATGCTCTCTAATAGATCTCATAGTGATGACTTCAAGAGTCTTACCCGAAGCCTCTGCTTTTGCTTCGATCTTATCGAGAGAGTTCCTAACAACTTTCTGGTAGTGTGGAACCCCTTAGAATGTGTTCCTTTTAGATTTAAATAGATAGAGGCTTCAAACTGCCTTAGGCCCCTTAGAATGTTTTGCTTTTAGATTTAAATAGACTTGGGCTTCATAACTGCCTTCAGTCCATTTAATTTGTTAACGAACTTGTAAAAACAGACTAGGTAGCATGAAACATGACCATTAAAACACAAACTTGGAATTTGTAAATGCTTCAATGCTCTTCTTTTCTTCCATGGACTTTTAAATCTTCATATTTTAGCCTATGCACTCATGTACACACAAAATAGTGAAAGCAGTAGCTTGCAGTTCCTTTCTCTCTTTTTAGGGTTGTTATAAGTAAGCCTTTAGCATTTCTCTTTTGGTTCCTTAAAGAGGAAACCTAAGTAATTTTAGTATTTTCTGTCAGCAGTGCAAACACAGGTGTGCTTCACAGCACAATCTAATTATGTTTGTTGCTGCCAGGCAATTTTTATCTCCCTTAAATTGGACGAGAATGTGATGAGTTTCACTACACAACCAGGTTGTGTAGTTTGTTGCCTAGACTTCTTTCAATTTCAAGCTTCAAAATTTCTTAAGATTAATTTTTTCCATGCTAACCTCCACTTCAACAATGTTTCATCTCCAAAATTTACTTCCCTAGATGACTAACTTGATTGAAAAATGTGAAATGCCTAGGGAAATTCAATCCAAATATAAGATTATGTGTGATGTAAATGGAAATGCAACCTATAAACTAATGCATGAATTGCACACATTAATTACCCAGCTCAAACTTCCCTCTCCTATTTATTCTCTATCTCACATTTGATTACTGTTGGAGCTGAGTTGACAATTAGTCAGTAGCCAAAGTTGGCTGATTCTGTCTTCTATATCACAATATTTAGGCTAGCTATAATTAGTCCTTTACCTGTATTAGTGGGATCAAATGTACATAAAATCCCATAGCGTTACTGATTTTTCTCTTTGATAGAGATATGGTTTTATTTTGTTCCTTTTCTAGTTCCTAAATTCCTTTACAGCTGATAATGATATTGTGTATTTCCATGGATGTACCATATTTTTGCAAGGAATGAAAAATACCTTTGTACAATTACAATAACCTAAAGTTAGTGCTCACTGCCACGATATAACAAACTATTGCAGATTTTGTTCCCTCACTTCATCTCATTCTCCTGGCCTTAACCTTTATTGGGGTTCTAGGCTAATAAATTGATTTCTATATTTCCTTATTATCTCAGGATTTGTTTCCTAGTTGAGTTAGTGTAAAATTGTGCTTTAAGCTTAGCTTAACCCCAAAAGCTAGTTTGTAAAGTGAGGATTGCTTTAACCTTTATAAGCTCTTATCTAGCCATATCTATTACCAATGTGGGACCTGGGAAATCCACATGGCCAGGTTATTTGCATTGGAAAATTTGTGGGGCCAGAATTTTTTTTTCAGCCAATGGTGACCCAATATCAATCTACGATAAACTGTGATACCATGTTGAATTTGAGCCTTAAGCCTAACTCAATCCCAAAAGCTAGCTTGTGCGGTGAGAATTTCTAACTTTTATAAGCTCTTTTTTAACCATATCTATTGTTGATGTGGGACTTCTAATATAAAAAAGGGTTAATGTTTGGTGTTTTGTATCATGTTGTAACATGCCAGTCATATCATGTGTACAAACTCAGCGAATTCAATCTCTTTTATTTCCTTTTCATCCTGCTATACCTAAAACTTAATTTGCGCATTTAGAATATCAATTCAAGCATGGTAGTTCAGGCAGCTTTACATTGTTTTATTGGTAGTAGTACAGCTGCAATAGAAATTTGTTTGTAATTGTATTATTTGCTCACAATTATGATGCTAACGTGCTTAACATTTTTGTGAGGATGCAGCCCTTTTGGAAAGTAGTTCCAGAAGGTTCATCAAAAGGGAATGGTGTTGTCGGTATATTCCTATCCTATTCTTTTCCACTGTTGATTTCTATGCATTCATTTCTCCCAAATTTCCAGTTTTTCTTAATTTGATCATAATATTTAGGAGTTCTTGAAGCCAATTTTGTAGAACCAGCGCATGACAAGCAGGACTTTGAGAGATCATCGCTGTACATACGGTTGGAAACAAAGCTTAAGCAAATGACAAATGATTACTGGTTTGTTACTTCATTACATGGTTTATCTTGAGTAGTTTTATTTTGTTCCAGAAATATTTTTTTCTGTTTCTGCGAAGCTTGTATATATTTCAGTATTGAATTTCATAATATGGATTTTTAATATTGCATATTACACCCTAATGTTGTGTATTTCTTATTTTGGTAATTCATTTGCACCCTTTAATAAGTTAATGATGTGTTGGCTAACCACCTTTTGGGGTTTGTGGCTCTGATTTTATTTAAAAAAATGATTTCATTTGATGCTTTAGATTTTAATTTTCTGTTTAGTTCATGTTAAAATTTTAGAACTAAATAATGACAGTCAAAGCTGTAATCATTTCAATAGTGGTTAGCTACTTTTGCTTCACAACAGGGCCCATGAAAAGAATGTGGTGCATTAAGTTGGATATGGAAGTAGATTATATATTCCATAATATATCCTCATTTTTACTCTTACCAATATACTTAGTGGCAAAAATTTTCAATAATAAATACCAATAGAATTACTAGAATGAGAATCAGAATAAATATTGATTATTGGAAGCATTATCCTCTGCTGTTATTTTTGGGCATTTGGCAGTAATTAATTTTATTTCAAATGAAAAGTTGATTAGAGCTTCCTGATACACCTTTTCCAGAATATCAATATTATGAGATAAACAGTGTTTGATTTGGTGAAATTTGTTCCGGACTAGACAGGAAAGGTCACTGTCACTTAGTTGGATATCAGCCACTAAATTTCAGATCACAAAATGTGGAAAAGGAAGCCCGCATTCAAAAATCAGCTGGACATTCAACTAATTCACAGAATGAGTTACTTGCTGATCAAGGGAATATTGGCTTGGTTATTGAGCATCAAAACAACCTGAGTTTAAATCAGCCAATTGTGAGTCTTGCAGCATCTGAGTAGTTGATGTAATCTGCAACATGGTCATATTTGTCTGATGTATAGCCTGAAATCATAATTGCCACTGTATGCTAAATAAATGAAAAATATTGTTGTTATTTGTTTTCTCATGCATATTTAATAACTCCATTGAGCTCAAACAGAAGATGCATACTATAGTGAATATACATTCTTACCTTTTAGAATTGACATGATGCTTTAGAGTAGTCAGGGCCAGTTCTCTGAAGAAATTGACAATCAAGAGAAAAATGTGAATTTTAAAAATGTGGAACATGCATTATCAAGCTTAGTTGATTTATGGTTGCACACTTGCACTTATCAGCAGGGAACTTCAGTAGATTGTATCAGGAATTGATTTTAGTACTTAATTCACAAGTTTAATTTCCCATATTATGCATAGTTTAATAATCATTTATTTGTGCTTGGCCATCTGGTTCTGCTGCAACCATATAGTAAATTTGGCAGATTGCTAGGCTTGTCTGTATTCATTATTTTGTCACATGTTTATTTGTGTTTATGATTGAAATCTGGTATGTTTAATTGGAAACACAAGGAAATCCCCAATTTACTGAAAAGTAAACACACACTCAACAGTTCTTTGAAGGACTGCACCTCCTAAGCCTAAGGCCCTAAATTGACAAGCTGATCTCTCTCTATCTCCCTCTTATTTATAAAGGCAATATGTTTTATTTCTTACAATCTCAAACTGTAAGTACTAACTAATTCAGGCTAACTAACTAATATATTGTAACTAAAAAGAAATGGGTCACTAACTAACATATCATAACTAACTACTAATGGTGGTTACTTAACAATACTTTCCCCCTAATGTTTCTCCTTCTCCACAAGGTGAAGGATTGTGTAAATGCCCTGAATAGCTGCTGAAATAAAGACTAATTGATGTTCCAACTGATTGAAGAATGATAACCATTCTAATTTCTCCTTGTAGCAAAAGATAGCTTCTATTCCTCTTGGGTCAAACACAAACGTGTGAATGCATCCAATCTCTTCCAATACTTCGTTTCATTTTGTATTTTTTGTCCTGAAATAGAGTGCCGCTGCCTCTGCAAGTGTACTAAGAACCCAAGTTTCTATTGAGAATTGCATTATTGCAAATGGTAGAAACTGATGATCATCTAAGTTCGTTACCTTCTGCTGGGTCAGTAAAAGAATGCAAGAGGAAGAAAAGGAAGATAGAAAAGGGAGAGAGAAGAAAAGAAACCCTGTTAAGAGTTTTTCCAATATTATTCTAAAAGCTAAGTTTTGAATCAGTTACACGGATGTATATAGTTGGAGTTGACTTCTAACAACCATGACAAAATACAGTTGTCATAACAGATTCTGTAACTAACTAATAACTAATCTGTGAGATTAGTTCTAGCTTAAAACAAAATGCCAGAAAAGAGAAAAAATAATACAACCAAAATACAGAACTAATACAACCGAGTTGTATACTCTAATATCCCCCCACAAGCTCAAGAAGAGTTAGCAGAAAGCTTGTCAATGACTCTGAGCTTGGATCTGTAGATATTGAAAGTGGAGGATGAAAGAGCTTTGGTAAGAATGTCAGTGCGTTGATCAACAGCAGGCAGATGAACCACCTGAACTTACTTGAAAATTACCTTCTCGTGAACAAAGTATAGATCAAGTTTAACATGCTTCATCCTGGAGTGTAGAACAGGATTATGACCAAGACTAATAGTACTTTGATTGTCACAAAATATGACAAGAGGAGCGTGTAAGACTTGAAGTTCTAAGAACTAACTGAATCCAAGAGACTTCAGTTGTAGTGAGAGCTAGACTATGGTATTATGCCTCTATATTAGAGTGAGCAACAACATATTGCTTCTTAGACCACTAAGAAATTAAGTTTGGGCCAAAAAATATAGCAATAGCAGAGGTGGAGCATTTGTCATCTGGATCAAAAGCCTAGTCAGCATCATAGTAAGCATGAACAAAATAGTGAGAAGTCGAAACATTCAGCTGTATGAACAAACCAAACTGAAGAGTGCCTTTAAGATATCGCAAGATATGCTTGATGGCTTGCCAGTGTGGTTCCTTAGGAGCACTCATGAATTGACAAACTTTGTTAACAGAAAAAATAATTTCAGGCCTTGTAATAGTAGCATGTTGTAGAGCACTGACAAATAAACAATGCAGAGTAATCTTTAGTGCCAATTTTGGACAATTTACAACCACCAACTAGAGGTGAAGAGATAGCATTAGCCTCAGCCATATTAGTCTTAGTCAACAAATCGCGAATATATTTGGATTCAGAGAGAAAAAAGAGAATTATTGGAGTGATTGCTGACCTCCATCCCCAAAAAAATAGTAAAGATCACCCAAATCTTTGAGAGAAAACTCTAAATTCAACTTTGCAATTGGAGATTGAATGAAATTAGGATTGTTACCAGTGACAATGATGTCATCTACATAAACCAGCATGTAAACCACGATAGATGCAACTTCATAGATAGAGGAGGGATCACACTTGTTGGATTGAAATCCATAGGTGAGAAGCGTGCTTAGTTTTTCAAACCAAGCCCTTGGAACTTGTTTGAGGTCATAAAGGGTCTTTTGGAGTTTACATACCAAGAGTTTTATTGGAATGCTCAAAACCAAGTGGCTGAGTCATATAGACTTCTTCAAGAATTCCATTTAGGAATGCATCGTTGACATCTAAGTGTTGAAGTTTCCAGTGATTGGTTACAAGAGTGAGCAGAATGCGAACTATGACAGACTTAATGACAGGGAAAAAGGTTTCATTGTAGTCATAACCTAACCGTTGATGAAATCTTTTTGCAACAAGCCGGGCCTTATATTTATTGACTATCCCATCAGGGTTTTCTTTGACCCAAAAGACCCATTTGCAACCGGTGGGAGTTTTGGAAGGAGGCAAATCAACAAGTTCCCAAGTGCCATTCTTGATGAAAGCATCATATTCAGCTTGCATTGCTGCACGCCAAGTAGAGTTAGCAAGAGTAGTCTTAATAAATTTGGATTCAACATGAGCAAGGAGAAGAGTGGGTTGAATCCTAGATTGGACAATGACTTGGCCCTGGTAGTCGTATGGTGAATGTTATCTTCCTTAATCAATGAGACAGGTGGAGTGAGTAAAATGGGATTGGGTGGAGGAGGGGAATTAGAATTTGGACGAGAAGAGCCAGCAAGGGTTGGCCCAGAATTAGTGGGTGTAAGGAAGGTTATTTTATGACAGCAAGAGGGTTGGTAGTAGGGGTGGGCCTGATAGCAATGGATGAGGTTTCAATTTGTAAAAGACTGGTATAGGGAAAACTGCACTCATTAAAGATAACATCTTTTGAAACATATATATGTCCATCTGCAGAGAGATACTTGTACCCTTTGTGAGACAGAGTAGCCCAAGAAAACACTCTTGAGAGCGTGGCTGAAACTTGTTGGAGTTGTAAGGTCGCAATAAGGGAAAACAAGAGCAACCAAACACTTTTAGAAACTTATAATTTGGCAGCCTGTGAAATAACTTTTGAAAAGGAACCTCACCTTGAATTGTAGTGGACGACAGCCGATGGATCAAGTAAACATTGGAGACCACTACATAGTCCCAAAAGGTAACTAGTAAGGAGGCTTGAGACAACATCGTTAGGGACATTTCAATGATGTCTTTGTTTGCATTCTACTACTTTATTCTGATGATGAGTATGAGGACAAATAAGGCAATGAATGATTCCTTAATCCACAAATTTACTAAAAGGATGATATTCACTACCCCAATTAGACTGAACAGCTTTGATGGGTAGATTAAACTGTGTATGAACCAAACTTTGAAACTGTTTGAACACATCAAGTGTTTCTAAGTTGGATTTCAATAGATACAACCAAGTAAGGCGAGTAAGAGCATCAACATTGGCAGGTCATTAAACGCATTTTGTGATACCTTAAAGGCACTATTCATTTTGGTTTATTTCTCCAGCCAAATTTTTCTGCCTCTCACTATTCTGTTCATATTTACTATAATGCTGACTGGGTCTTGGATCCATATAACAGGTGTTCTACATTTGGTGCTGCCATATTTTTTGGCCCAAACTTAGTCTCCTGGTGGTCTAAAAAGCTATCAGTTGTTACTCAATCTAATACAGAGGCGAAATACTGTAGTTTAGCCCTTGCCACAGTAGAAGTCTGTTGGATTCAGTCTCTCCTCTCTGAACTTCAAGTCTCATGCTCTTCCTGTCCTCTACTCTAAAAAAAAGCATCTTAAACTTGATCTATACTTTGTTCATGAGAAAGTCATTTCCAAACAAGTTCAGATCGTCCATGTGCCTGCTATTGATCAAAAAGCTGACATTTTTACCAAGGCTCTATCTCCCTCGACTTTCACCAAGCTTAGAATTGTTGATAGACTCTCTAACAACCCCTCTTGATCTTGCGGGGGAATATTAGAGTTTACAACTCTGTTGTATTAAAACTTTGTATCAGTTTTTCTGTTATAATAATTAGTTACAGATTCTATTAAATTGTTAGCTTTCAGTTTTGTATCATTATATACATCTCTGTAACAGTCCCAAGGTGGTTAATAAATTCTGAGAAAAACTCCTAACAGAGTTTGCTTTCTTTCTCTACATTCTCTTACATTCTTTTCTTCCTATCTTACAATCTTTTAGAGCCTCTAACAATTTCTAAAATTGCTACTAAAATGCTGGTTTGAGAGGGAAGACACTCCCCCATATGTGGTGGAGGTTGGAGATGGGCACAAGGTAAAATGCCAAGGAGTGTGCAGGGAATTTATATTAGAATTGCAAGGAATAAAGGTTCAACAGGAGTTTTTTATATTTGATTTGGGAGGGGTATTGTAGTTTTGGGACTATAATGATTAGCTAGTTTGGGGAAGGTCAAAGTAGACTTTGGATAGCTGAAGCTAACCATTGGAAATGGCATTACAAAGCAGGTTTTCTTAGGGGATCCAACCTTGTCTAAGACTGGAGTCTTACTGAAAATGATGATGAATGAGCTGAAGAAAGGAGCAGGGTAGTTAGAGGAACAGGTGCAAGAAAAAGAGAGTACATTCTCCATTTATAGCAAAGGTGCTAGAACTGAATGAAAAATTTTTTTAGACCCACAAGGATTACCCCCAAGAGAAAACATGATCATGCCATCCATTTAAAGGAAGGAGCAACAATTCCAAATCTCAGACCATACAAATATCCTTACTTCCAAAAAACTGAGATTGAAAGATTAGTAAATGACCTACAGAAGGTAGGACTTATTAGACCCAGCATTAGTCCCTATTCAAGTCCAATAATCTTAGTGAAGAAGAAAGACGGCAGGTGGAGATTATGTGTCGACTATAGAGCCTTGAACAAGATCACTATTCCCAACAAGTTTCCAATTCTAGTCATTAAAGAATTGTTGGAAGAGTTGACAGGAGCAGCAATATTCTCTAAATTGGACTTGAAATCAGGGTACCATTAAATACAAATGAAAGAGGAGGATGAAGAGAAAATTGCTTTTAGGACACATGAAAGCCATTATGAGCTTTTGGTCATGCCTTTTGGCTTGACCAATGCACCTTCCACATTTCAATATCTTATGAATGAGGTATTCAAGCCCTTTTTAAGAAAATATGTTCTTGTTTTCTCTGAGAACATCCTGGTGTTTAGCTTTCCTTTGTAGTTACATCTCCAACACAGATGTATTTCAAGTGTTCAAGGAAAATCAGTTGAAGATAAATCAGAAAAATGGTCAACATAGTTTGGAATATTTGGGTCATATCATTGCAGCCCAGAGTGTATTAGCTGATCCAAAGAAGGTTGAGGCAATGCAGTTGTGGCCTAATCCAAAAGATGTCAAAATCTTGAGGGAATTTTTGGGCTTAACAGGGTATTACATGAGATTTGTGGAAGAATATGGTAAGATTGCAAGACCTTTAACTCAATTGTTGAAAAAGGAAGAGTTCAAGCCAGCAGTGCATCTTGCTACCATGCTGCAACCTTTACCTCCTATGTTGTTAAATGCACATGTTCTAGAGGTAATTCCTGAACAACTACCAGATACAAGGACAACTTCCCAAGGTGAGTTAGAAGTCCTTCTCAAATGGAAGTAGCTTCTAGATTGTGAAAATAGATGGGAATTGCTGCCACGATCCAAGAGGTGTTCTCATATTTTCACCTTGAGGACAAGTTAGCTCTTTGAGGAGGGGGTATTGATATGTTCACAAGGGTGTACAGTAGAAAGAAGGGAATAGGCAGGAAATTCAATAATTAGCCATTTAATTGGTTATGACAGCTGTAATTTTGTAATTTTGTATTAGTTACTTGTTAAGATATCCCACATTGGTTAGGAATAGAGTCAAAATACTCCTTATAAGGGTTAGGGTAGTCCTTCTCCTCTGAGCTAGCTTTTGGGAATGAGTTAGGCCCAAATTTTTTAACATGATATTAGAACTTATTCGGTTTGAACTCTGGGCTGCCCACAGATGTCCAGTCCTATTGGGTCCACCCATGCAGATGTCCAGTCCTACAAATTTCATGCACCAAATGTTCAGTCCTGGGCATGAGTGTGTTAAGATATCCCACATTGGTTAGGAATAGAGTCAGAATACTCCTTATAAGGGCTAGGGTAGTCCTCCTCCAATGAGCTAACTTTTGGAAGTGAGTTGAGCCTAAGTTTCTACTGTTATAAATAGTCATATGAGGGATTAGTTAGTAGTTATGTTTTTGTAATTGGTAATTGGAAAGGCTTGGAGAGTGGGGTTTTCTCAAATAAGTCTGGTGGTTCTCGATTGTATTTCCTTCACCCAATTCTAAATCACTATATCTTTGGTACTGGTTTGGTAATTAGGGTTTTCTTAATAAAATTTGGAAGTTCTTTTCAATAATTCTGTACCAGTTGTATCACTGCAACTCATAAGGCAAATCCCCAACTCTTACAGTTAACACGCTGATCTGTCTCTTACCTCCCTCTTATGTATAGAGGCAATATGCCTTACTTCTTCTTCAACCTTAACCTGCCCAACTAATCATTAATTGAGGCTAACTAACTAATATATTGTAACTAAAACTAATGGGTCCATAACTAATATATTATAACTAACTATTAATGGGGGTTACCTAATTTTATTATTTGTAAATAGCAGGTTATAGCTGTCATATTTTCCAACTGTAAATATATTGTAATTGATAGAATATTCTAGTCTACACTTTAGGACCAAATCTGTTATAATCTCTCCTGTAACTGTAAAAGGTTTGATTTCTGTCTATTTAAGAAGAAAAGACCACATAGAGCCAAACAGTTTTCTCAAAACAACTTTCTTGGCTTCTATTCTGGTATCTTTATATATATAGAAAATGGGTTGTGGGCTGAACTCTCAGTTATATATAATAAAACGACGTGATTTCTTTTTTTTTTTTTTTGCAAATTATAAATAATATAAATGCTTCAAATTTCATCAAAACTCCACATTTAAACTTGTTCGATCTCATCGTGTGTGATAAAACTATTGTTGTTGTACACTGCAAATAATACAATACACTTGAAATATGAAGAAAAGATGAATATTTTACTGACAACATGTACACAAAAGTTTTAGGGATAATTTCTGTGTGTTTCAACATACAGTCGAGGTACATTATATACAGAACAAGGGCTTGCTGTGAAGCTTAAAACCAGAAAACTATGGATCGCAACAATAGTTTCTATCTAGAAACTAAGATTCTTTCATGCCTGAAATTTTAATCGAATGGGGAAATTAAATTTGAGTCTGATAGTTGCCTGCACATCTCTTATGCCATAGTGCAAATGATAAACTCAGCAAGAGGCTACAGTTCCTTCTATTCTTCCCTTGGTTGCATGTCTGTCTATGTAGGCCTTTTAATAGCATAGTAAGTGTTAGGATCCCAATTGCAAGGTATGGGACTTGAGTTCCACATTGGAAGCATGGGGTTCTAGTGTGGGATGTATAAGAAATTAGGCTCTCCAACTGCAACATCTAGCTTTTGTGGTGTAGTTCTTCCAAGGCTCTTATTATAGAGCTAGTGACGAGATGAAAAAACTACACAAACTACAGCCATCTCCTCACTCAAGCCTTATCCTAGTAGGTGGTGGTTTGTTTTTGACTGCTGGCCCAACCCAGTGGTGGTAGAATAGAAGGCAACAGAGATAGTTGCAACTACCTGGGCTGTTAAATACCCACTTAGTAATTGGATTCATTCTTGATTGCTAAATACTAAATTGATTATTGTTGTAAGGGAAAATCCTAGGGAGAGACTCCCTATTCTTTGCAATTCTTTCTCTCTCTCTCTCTCTCTTTTTTCCCTCTATCAATTTTCAACTTCAGGAAATATGCTACTTTTGGGGGTTCATAAGCATGTATTTTTCCTATCAACAGGGTACCTCGGTAGGAGCTCCATGGTCTCTGTCCGTTGATGAAATCTGTGAAGAAAACATAAAACTTTTCATGAGGTAAATATTTCTTTCGAATTATCTTTACAGACAAATCAAATATTTGTCATTTTTATCCTTGTTATATTTATTTTGACTGGTATACCTGTTCCTTCAATGTATGTCTTGTTTGATCAACCTCCTTCCTGATCTTTTTCGTTGTGCATCAACCAAAAGCATATTGACTCTTGCTTGTTACTTCACTTACTTGTGACAATATGTGTAATTTTGAGCTCCTTCGCTCTGTTATTTCTTGATTTTCTGTTATTGGAGGTAATCTTATCCACCCAACCTGTATTATTGTCTCCAATAAATTTGCATGTATTTGGTTTAAGATCAATCGACAATGGTGTGCATAAAAAACATTCCTAACTTCCTATACCAGTGAATAACTTATAGTGGATGGTTTTCTAGAAAATACATTGTTGGATTGATATTTGTATCATGCATGTCTTATACATGAAATTTCCCACTAATCCAATAGTTTATACTCCATCAAAAGATATCGTAACTTTAGTATACAAAATAATTTCCAAATAAATAACCAGTACTTATGACATGTTGATCGTTCTATAAATTTCCTAAAATGTTGGCATGCAAGGTTAATGTTATAATCAATCACTTTGGTGTATATATATTTGCTTTGAGGTGGCTGAGCTTTGTGTTTACTTGTTTTATTGAGTAGAGTCCCACTGAAACCCTTTTGTTCAGGTGCGAGGAGTACAGGCTGAAAGAGACAGAGTTGAAACAGACGGTAATAGTTATCAAATAACAAAGTTTAACGATTAGTTGTGTTTTAAGGTTAACGTGTTGCTGACATAAAATAGGTTGTGGACTTGGAGGAGGAATTGAAAGAAATCCAGAACAAATGTGCCCATATTTCTTCACTCTTAGAGGCTAAGAGGAAGCAGGAGAGTGTAAGGAAGCACTAATAACGTTATACAAATATCATGTTAATGAACGGCTGGTTGATATGCTTTCATAATTTGTTAGCGTAAAAGCACCTGTTTTGTGTATGTACACCTCTCAGAACAACTCTAGCTAGATCGGGAGAAAAACCAGCGACGAGACTTTGGACATTTAGAGCTTAGAGTAATGCTAAACAGTACAGAAGTGTAAAACACGGAAACAAATCAATATGAAATAAATGAATAAAGTTTTGCATAGATCACAGAGGCAGAGGAATGTGAATGAATTTTGTTTGCCAATAGGATTAAGCCACCACATTTCGTGCAGTTTTAGTATTATAATTTTTGTACTCATTATCATTTCCATATAACTTGCTCAAATCTAGAGGGAACTTGTATTGAGTTAAAACTCCTATTAACCCAAACTATGAAAAAAAAAAAAAAAGTTGTATTTGTGAAGTTCTGGTTTTTCGCTTTTCAAACTTGTCATTGTCGAAGAAGAAATCAAATCAGATCATGATTTTCCTTGCGGGAGAGATTACGAAGTGGATAGAGAACCTCGGCTATATATCGAATTGCCGAATATGTACTAAATTCATCAAACGAGTGGGGTTTTTAAATATCAAAACTATCTAAATATTAATTGTAAAAGTTATAAGCAATTTATAAATCTGTTCATAAATTAATAAAATTTAGGTTTGGTTGTATTTTGGTTTTGGACTGGTTTTAGTCTTTCTGGTTTTCTCAAGTCAGTTAAGCGCTTGTCTGTTCTGTACTTGAATATTCTAAAGTTGAATATTTTCACTTTAACTCTTCAATTTTTTTATTTAAAAAATGAGTTTATAAAATAACTTTGAAAGTGTAAAATCTTAAAATTTAGTACAATTTGACAAAATTTTAATAAGATATGATAAAACTTATATATGACGTTTGTACATGCATTTTCATTACATAAATATAACTAATTTTGAAAATAATATTTCTTTTAAATAATTTTTATGATGTCTTGTATATTAAGAGAGATATTTTATACCTTCTTATACGTAGAATAATTATCACTATTAATTTTATATTATTAGATAGTGAAATTAGTAATTTATTTTAAAAAAATGTAAATATTTTTTAATTTCTAAAATATTAGAACAATCTTAATTATAAATCCAAAAGAGATACAATACTCCAAATTTACAAGGATCATAGTAAGTATTTTTTATTTTTTGCTAATAGCATGCATTTTTTTTATCAAATATTTTTTGTTATTGTGAATCTATTTATCGGAAGAATATTTAAAGAGTTACAAAGTGTAAGGTTCAAAGGTAATAGAAAAAACTATTTCAAATAAATTGTGGTAGAAAATATAATCTTTTAAAGAAGATTTACATAAAATTAAAGTTTGAAACAAATTTATTTATTTTTCGTTAATTTTGTAAATTTTCTAAAGTTCAGAAGTGAAGAAAAATAAACTTTTCTTTAACAACGCAATAATGAAAATGAAGATTGAATGATAAATACCTCTGCACAGTACTCATCACGTGGTGATGAATATGACGTCAACGAATTTGTAGCTATATCAACTGCACAAAGTGATAAATATTAATATTGTTGATATATTAATTTACTTATAATTTAACTTATAATCATTTAAAAAATGAATCGCGTTGCTTTTAGGTCCTTATATTAACAATTATTTTTTCATTGTTAATTTATTACTTCTTGCCTCATATGTATGAATACGTTAGTTGTTAATATTTATGTCATTATTGATGAGTGTTATTATATTATTTATTCAATTTAGTACATCATCTTCAGAGTCATACACTAAATTGTTCAACATAATCTATTCAATACATTAATTATGTCACTATTTGCCTAAATGTTTTAGCTATTGAAAATATTTAATACATTGAAATTTTTTTATGTTATTATCATATTATTTGAATCCATATTAACGAGAAATAATTAAAATCTATTGACATTTATGTGTCTACACTTACACTACTTAATAACTCTCATAAACAGTAAGACAAATCAATTTAAATATCAAATTATTTTTATATTATCTTTATAATTATATATATTAAATTTCACATAATTTAAAAATTATAAATATATTATTAAAAATTTATTTTTTACTTATATTTTAAAAATATATTATACATTAAAATAAAATAATATAATAAAGTATTTATTTATTTTATTTTTATTTAAAATTTTATAAAAGTAGATTAAGTTGATTGATTTCATATTTTATATAAAAAAATTATTAAGTAGTTTAGATATTAACTACTCGTTGAATTAATTGATTTCATATTTTATAAAAAATTATATTACGGTTTACAACTTGACTATAAATAAATAACTATTAACAAAAGTTTAAATAAGGTTTTGGTAGTCTAAGAATTTATATTTTTATTTAGTTTTTTTTAATTAATATAATTTTTTATTAATAATTTATTAACTTGTTTCAATATTTGTTTATATAATATCCAAATTAATTTATATAATTTAACTGATCTTGTACATATAAATAAATTAATAAGATTATCATATGATATATGAATGCTTTTAAATTTAAATATAATAAAAATAATATTTTTATTATTAGTTATGTATATTTATTGTATTAACATAAATTTAATTTGAGAAAAAAATAAAAAATAAGACTTGAAAATAAACAGTGATAGAATTAGATTACTGTAGATATATGATGCTTATACAATATGTAAGAATATGATACTTATGGTTTTAATAATTATCATCAAAATATGAATAAAAAAAATTGTAAGTATATAGCATTTATATCCTTGATTATCAATAAAACATGTTATAGTGATGGGAGTATATTCTTGTAGTTACATGATACTTGTATTTGTTCTTTATTATATATTTGAAAGTATATTATTTATATCAATAAGTTTAACAATTACCGCTAATTGGTATATGACAATTTCCTTGCAATGTATTCAAAAAATTTAAATAACTAGATTGTAAATATTAAAAATAGTTTAATTAGTTGCTTAAGATGTATTAAAATCAAATATGAAGTTAAAATTTGGAGAAAATTTAATTATCATTATTATTTATGAATACGGAAGGAAAATGGTTGTATGTCTATGTGTGAAGGATTATGAAGAAGAAAAAGAAACTAGCTTTTTCTAACTATCAAATAAAAGATTATATTAGAATTAATTATACAAAAAAAATTATCAATTATAGTTATAGATATAAACTATGTTAGAAATAATAATTAAAAATAAAATGGTGCATAAATTTTAAAGATAAAAATTTGTGAATAAATGTGTGTTAGTGTGAGTTAAGAGCTATGATTCTTATAAGCAATGACTTTTTTGGTTTGTAATCACCGGATATTTAGTAACATAATGAGGCAATTATTTGATATAAGTTTAAGGTCATTATACCACTATTATAAATACTAAATTAAACCTATGTATTTTGTGTATCAACTAATCAAATCATTTTATTGTTTTAATTCTTCTCTTCATATCTCTAACAAAATGATATCAAAAATCAAGTTTGATCTTTAGAGTTAAGAGAAACACTTTGAGAGTTGAGTAAATTACTTTAAAAGAAACACCATGAGAGTTAAGTGAAAAATTTGGGAGTTTAGAGATGAAATAAATTACCTAAATTTATTTTAATTTTTATATCTCATTAGAGAAAATTATAATAATTGGTATTAACACATGAAACTCTTGCTAAAGTCACACAATGCTTAGAAAATTGTGAAAAAAAAAAAGGTTATGTTAAACCTTAAGATGAGGTTATTTTGTTACAAAATGAGAAAGAGACTTTAATGAAACAAAAGAAGAAATAACAACAAATACTTGACTTTATCTACTATTAAGGTTTAGATGAAATTATATTTGAGGTAGTGTTTAATGGAACCACTTCTACATAAGCTTGGCAAATTTTAAAGACTAACCTTGAAGGCATTGACATGGTAAAAAGATATGCATTTATAAACTTTACGAAGAGAGTTTGAATCTTTGTGTATCAAGAAATACGAGCCTATTTCAGATCTTAGTAATAAAGTAATGTTATAAACCAAATGAAACAAGGAGATAAGATTTAAGATGTTCACGTAATAGAAAAGATCATTCACTCTTTAACCACAAAATTTGATTATGTAGTTTGTGCTATTGAATAGTCAAAAAATTTAAACTTGATGTCAGTGGACTAGTTGATGGGTTCACTTTAAGCCTATGAAGCAAGTCATTAAAACCAAAGTCTCTTTGAAAGAAAATAGAGGAGAAAAAACTAAAGAGGAAGATGATATGGACGAGGACATGGAAGAGGATATGGTTGTAGTCAAGGAAGAGAAAAAAGAAGGGATCATGACAGTTTTGACCATAATGAAGATAATTATTAATCTACTAGAGGTCGTGGAAGAGGACACTACTAAAAAGTCTATTTATACAGACAGATTTTTAGAGCATTACAGACGATTTTTTCCATTACAGACGGATTTACAAACGGTTTATGTCCGTCTGTAATATCCTCGTCGGTAAAGAATTATAGACGGAATTTCAAATCCGTCTGTAATCCATCGGTGATATATTTTACTATTATTGATATTTTTTTGTTTATATAAATAGTTATTTCCTGCTGTTCTTGATTATCACAATTTATAAACAAAATAGAAATTATAGATTCGGCATCTAAACATTCCAAAATGATTTATAAAATATAAAATTTAAATGTTATTACAAAGGAAGATAAAAAAGCATCTAAATAAATATATTTAAAAATAAAATACAAGTCTTCATCAGGAATAATCTGTATGGTCATAATCCGAAGGAGCATCATCATCAGTAGAAGAGGAGTCAGTAGATGAATGATGAATGGAGGTGAAAATCAGTGGTGCTGGAGCTGGTGGAGGAGGAGGAAGAGGTGTGGAGCTGCTTGCTCTCATGAGCTCAAAATAAGCATGCATCTGCTGCATTTGCATATGATGTTGCGTCATCTGCTGTTGGACCTCCCTTTGCATTCTTGACGCCACCTTCTTCTCTATCTTCTTCTCCATTTTTTTTTGCCCACTTCTTCTTCCATGTACTTTCTTTGCTCTTCCACATCTCCTCATTCTGCTTCTGGAGTTCTTCATTGAGGGCATGGACTTGAGTGCGGACCATGGCCTCCACATCCTCAGGTGCAAGAGAAGGGGCATCTCCAGTGACAGATGCAGGGGATATGGAGTCTGCAAAGCGGCCCCCCATGCCATAAATGCGACCTTTAT